CCCAAAAGTCGCGCGTACTCTTCCCATATTAGTTGAGCATGGTATAATGCCTCATATACCATGATGGCTAAGCCAATGAAAACTATTGAATTGCTTCATCCAGTGATCCAGTTTTGAATAGAAAATATTTATCACGAAACTGAAACATTCAAACTACGTGCAATAATCAGTAGACCTGGGCATTTTCTTCACATACAATGGGACGAATTCATCACGCTGGGACTTAAATTTGCTTCACAGAATTTGTTAGAATCAGGATCTAAAATTTATGATTTTGGGAGTAATCAAAAGAGTTCTCAAACGGCAGTCGATCGAGAACGAGTGGACGACGGGGGACGAGAGTGATCGATAATCACTCGGTAGTGAATGCGGTTTCCTTCGTAAAGAGACGATCAAGGTCGACTGAAATCTAACACGACACGAGTTTACGAGTGCAGCCTACTTGTTTGCCTCTATGACAGAAGATCTCAGGCTTGTAGTGTAAACTGTTGGAAATACTGCGTTGATGTAATCTAAAATTCTCAAAAGAAACATTAAAGAAAACTGAGTATACTACTTACTTAGGAGAAGTGCGATGTATTAATGTAATGACTGTATTGTTTTGTTTGTTTGTTTGTTTTTGCCACCAGCGCATCCTTCTACACACAGTTTAAACAGAACTTTAAAGCGTGGGTTATCGAACTTGATTTTCGTTTTAAAATATCTCGCTAACATCACATGTGGGAGTTTGCTTTCGTTTTTAGATGATTACACCTCCTACGTATACTTATTTGTCTCGGGTACTTAGTTACGCTACTTGAAACGTTGTGACAAGTCAGTGAGTCCCACAAGCTCCGTAGGGAAGCCTGCGATTAAAGAGAGTACCGGATGTCTTGTAGATCAATAGACTACGTAATTTAAAACAAATTAATGCTACTGCACGTGGTTTAGGGCGGAACAAATAAGATACGCTTTGACATTCATTACGGTTTAAAATGCAAAACTCAAATTTCATACTTGGAAACTTTCATTGAATATGATGTGATCTTTATTCTTACAAGCGTTCAATTCAAAGAATACTTTATTTTTTTTAGCCCTTTAACAAAGACCTTTAAAAGAAATGCACACTCTCTTAAACTGACGTCATTCCGATCCTACGGTGAAAGACGCCAATTTCTTGACTTAAATGAAAAAATGGCGAAGCTACAAATTGTTGAAAACATGCTCCAATTTAGGGAAAAAAATATCCATACAATTTTGCCAAAACAATAGTTCGCAGGAAAAACGCATGTGCCGATTTTAATATTTTGTTTGGATTTCTATTTTAAAATCACTAAATGCGATAAACGTCATTGTTTTCCATGATTTTCAAGATTTCTTGACCTCATTCGCATGCGTCACAGTCTTCACGTCCGGCCGGGCTGCACTGCGGTCTTGACCTCACCAGTTTGTTGATTTCCGTACTAGCAGGAAACGTTTTGCCTCAGAACACCTTTTTGGGAAACTAGGGGAAAAAACCTGAAAGAATGATAATTTTGAGTAAAGGCGTGTTTTATATATTCCCCTGTTAATCACCATAACAGTGATAAAAGGCCTTACTATATGTACTTTATGGACTTACTTTCGTGCTCCAAATGATTATCCTGGCATTTGAAGTTTCCGACGTGCACAACTTTTTTTCTTCAATTAACATTTGCCTTCAAGGGATTAATCGAGATTGAACATGTCTCACGTTCGACAGAAATCAAGCCATTGAGATAAACTTTTTTTTGTGCGTGTAAGACATGATTATTTATGGCAAAATTCCATAGGCGTTACCTCAACTGAGCACATT